CTCTTTTCGGGATCTTACTCACTTTACTTACTATGACTTGCACGATCGCTTTCTAATACAGACGTTTTCTAACAAGCCTAGTATATAGTACGTTAATAAACTTTATTTTTATCATTTTTAAAATATTTGTTGTTTTTACATAATTAAAATCGAAAATCGTCCGATTCTAACAATATTTGTGCTTCAATTTATATTCTGTAAGTATTTTTTTACTATTTTAGCATTCCTTATTCTTTACAAATCTAATTATAATCTTTTCCGTTACCTGAGATAAAACGTGGCAGAGATTAATAATGCAATCTGATGAGAAAATTGTGTGTTTAAAGTCCTAATTATCCTTTCCTAAGACCCGATAATATAACCTTAGATAGACCCGACAATCAGTTAATCTGAGCTGGACTATAAATTTCTAGTCGGGCAATTCTAGTATTACCGGATGAATATCGACAAAAAGAATCTATATAACTTCAACAACGGCGTTTTCTACGAAAATTTTCCGCGTCGGATTGAGAAACATGATTCGATGGATTATTAGAGTAACTTCTTCGGTTAACGAACCGACTGACCGGCGGATGCGATGCTCGGGATCCGAATTATTGGGTCTCGGCTGTTTCTGCTGTGCCATAATCTATTTTCCGGCGCGAGTGGCCATTGATGACGATTATCCGGTCATTGCGGCGCAATGATGGGGAATAAATTAAGCCCCTAAATTCGACGAGTTTCAGCGAATGCCCGAGGAGATTGAATTTTCGAAATAAAAAGAAGAAAGCGGACGAGGTGAATTGATTCAGCCGTTTTTCGTAATTAGTCGTAACGGTACCTTCGTTTAAGGAACGATCGTAAATTCGCGAAATAACTCGTAGGCCCCACAAAATTCTAAGTCCGCTTACGACGGGCTCCGTAGTCTCCTCGCTGAATCCGCGCTCCCGTAAAACGGGAAATACGACAGTTTCGTCCAAAAACTCTGTATTCCGGGTGAATATACTGCGATTGTTCGTCACGAAGTCAAGTCAATTAGCGCAGTTACTCCCTCGTCCCGCTTTATTTTCTCCGTGACTTTTTAATTACCGCGAGACAAAGAAGTTCCTGGGGAAAATGTTCTCGCCTGCGCAGATAAAAAAAAAATAAAAAGAGAAGAAAAAGAGAGACAGAGAAGGAGAGTATGTGCATTTGAAACAGCGCAAAGGCAGAACTCTCCGAAGTGGCCCGCTCCTTCATTTAACTAATAGGCGCGCGTCCTTAATTGGTGTCTAATTTTAGTTTAGGAAAAATCGACTCGCGGAAACCGGCAGAGGAAAAATTAGCGTTTAAATTAAGCAAGGAATTCCGGAGGATTTTACGCGGTGAAAAATCTATCGCGACGATGTGTGAGTGCACGCGTGCATAAGCTGTTCGGCGGATGAAAATATGATTAGACGGATGGATTTTTAAATTAAATAATTTGCTGTGTATCGTTCGTAAAATTTAATGAAAAACGCTTTTCTTTTTTTTCATTTTGACGCGGCGAATGTCGCGCGAGACGATAATATTGCGCATATTATGAGACGGGAATGAACAATTAACGACGAGATTTATGTGGCGATTACTCGGCCCTATTTTCTTGACGAACAAATTGAATAGCCGTTAGCTGGACGGCGGCCAACTGGCACATTCTCTCATCGCGAAAAACGGGCTTTGTGGCAAGAAACGAGACGACACACGAAGGCAGGCAGGAAAACTGCAGTTTTACCGTAAACGAATCTATTGTTCGGTAAGCTCGGCAACAAAGTGCAAATCGCCCGTGTGCCTTCGCAATTCTAGGTATCCCGGTCTGCCCACGTTATCCTCGAGATGCAAATCCAATATCTCGCGATATTTTTCATCGCACAGGAATGTCACGAACGAGAAGAGACAAAAGTTTTCTCGAATTTCTCTTATAACCTATCCTATATTTTGATCGTAATGCAAAAGCTCCCTTTAAATTTTGAAACAGTGTCATTCGATCAACGAGGACAAAAATTCTGCGTCATACATGTTCGAAATGACGTAATAGCAGCGTCATTCATTCATACATGGCGCGATGTCTACTAAAAGCCTGTCTGTAAAATTGTAAATCGTCGTCCGGCGTTATGAAACGACATGCATGTATCCTTAAGCGTTTACCGCGGTATTTTTGTGTTAACCGCGCCGTATTGCTCTGGCCGCGAATCTCGACAACATTCGCGCAAAAATTCCCTCGTACGAATTCCCGATTCAATTTGCACTCTCGAGGAGGGACGGGCTGAAACCCCGTAACGTACATGGCGCTCCGAATTTCGTCGTGTTCGTGTAAAACGTGCGAAAACGTTTCGCCCGCGGGCGGCGAATAGAACGAGCTGTCGTTTCAGCGTAACGCGCGTAATATTTCAAGCGCACAAAATGATACGGAGCTTTTTGTCATAAGCCGCGTGCTCGCGACGGAAGTAAGTTAATACGATGCGGCGGAGAGGCTGCAGACTCCATTCCAGGAAGATGAAAAGAGAAACGTCATAAAACTCCGAATATATATCGACAATAATAACATTTTCTCTGGTATCCTTAATTTGTCCGTGGGAAAAGAAACATTATAATTTTAAGAGAGAAATGGAGGAAATAAAATTGTTCTCTGTTACACGCGACCATTTCTGTCCCTGAATCCAACGGTGCGAATTTTTCAACAAGCCCGACGTTAAATATTCCATCAAGAAAAAACCGGCCGTTGCTCTTTTTCCCAATCTCTCTTGTAAAAGAACTCGCCGAGGAGCGATTCACGCCAACTTCTTTAATCTCTCGTTCGCGGAGATGTTCCGAAACTAACGTATCCAAGTATCGTCCACGTCATCTCTCGGCGCCTTCCCTCATGCATTCAAGTCGAAGTTTCACGTTCGATATTGGAGGAGCTAAATCGAGAGAAAGAGAAAAGGAAAGAAAGGAAGGAAGAGAGAAAGAATGCAAAAACCGGGTCAATCTTCTTTGACCTCTTTGTAAAGAGCAGCCAGCTTTTTCGCCGTTCGGTGGGTATATACGACGATCCTAAAATTTCCTCCCTCCCGAAAAAAGTTCGACTGAATTATTCGATAAGATTTATTTTTGCACGGCGCCAGAACGATAATGGGCTTCGCTCTAATTATTTCGGTGGTAAAGGGTAGAAAAGACTCTTCCTTTTAGGAAGCAGATTACTGTATCCGGAAAACGAGCTGGTTTTTACGCGGCAATAATTCGCGCGACATTCCTTCGGTACTCCAGCAACGTTTTGATAACTATGGTGAAAACATTCCCCGCTAAATTCACAAAGACAACGAATCAGCTAGCTCTTCGAAGCTGAAAAGGATCGCTCAAAGCGTAGAAACCGTCGTTGGGAGGATCCTGCTTCCGCGGATGGTGCGCGTTCAGCTGTCTCGTAAACAGTCCTTAAGCCAATACCGGTGTTTGCAAAGAAGCAAATACAAGCTATCGTCACGCGGATATACTCCGCAAGCTTCTTTTCACCCATTTGACACATCCCGCATAATGCTATCTGTCTTCAGAATTCAAGCGTTTCTCCGAAGAGAAAATTTCTCCGAGGAGATCCACTTAAAAATGTTTTTTTCAGATAAATTTTGCGCTAACGGAATACAAGATATATCCCCGAAAGGAAAGACGAGCTCTTGTGCAAGGAAGAGTTCACGGAGGAACCTACGTCCGAAGGAAACATCAGGACAACGTTACTTCGCTCCGTGAGGAAAATTAGCGCAAGTGCCATCGCCGCTAATTTCTCATCCTCGCTCTCGCCATTAAGTCGAGGTGCCCGCTTCTTCCGCGAATTATGCGAAAATATAATCTCAATAGTTAGCCGTTTGAAACTCGCGAGCACACATAGTTCCCAGAGGGAACAAACGAACCGAAGAGCAGGGCGCGTGAAAAATCCGTCGAATACGGACAAAGGGGTGACCGGCCGAATTTCGCAGAATTCACACAGCGCGATCAGCGAGTAACGAAGTTAATCGCTCGACCGGCTCGTCGTCCGTGTCGTCGATGCACTTTGATTCGTCCCGACGTGGATTTTACCCGCGAAAATTACAGGCCCGCTTTTCGACCTTCGGTCAGACCAACTTGTTAAGGCAGCTAATTAACGAACGTGCGCTAATATCATCGGATGCATCGTGGAAAAAAGAATTTTCTACTCCTTCGATTCTTCTTTAATTTTATATTTCCTTAGTATGCGATGGGATTTTCAAAAAATCCGCCTCGAAAAACATGTATTAATGGAGAGAAATTGCGTCGTGAATTAACAACTGACGAGAGGAAAGGAACTTCTTTATAATGCGATTAATTATGAATCAATAATACCATGCATATATCGATTATTTTCTAGAGGGTGCCACATGATGCGCCAGAATAGCGCCGATATTGCAGCAGTTCTCCGTATCAACGTGACGGCTTCAGGCGTTCCCTGCGGTACCGGCGCGCTCCCGCCAGCAGAAACCTGCTTTACCGCTGACATTTGCACGATCGTCGTTAATCTTTCGATAAAAGAAATGTAAAAGCACGAGGGAAGTAAATTTAAATCGCGGGAATAAATTCGAATTTTGCTCAATAATTAAGATATCATCTCTGAGCACGTAATTTATCGCGAGGCGAACGCACGTTAAGAGGTGCTGTCCATTAAGAATTGAAAGTACGAGCTTTTAAGATTCGAGGGGACCAAGAGGAGCGCGCCGTCGTTTTTCATCGTTTTCGCGGGGGGAAGATTCGCCAGTAGCTGGCTGGGGACCAACAATGTCAATGGCATTTCCGAGCAGTTTAGCGGCGAGGCGAGGCCTCGACACGAGGAAGCACGCAATTAAGAGGCCAGACATCCTGTTCAGAGCGACCAACAGGTACGTGCGGATGAGTTATCGTCGCGTCGAGGAAGGAGGAGGATATATTATTATTATTATCGGTACGCGATAATTTGGACGTCTTCGGGCATATTCGTCAGTATCATAAATCGAAAAATGTTGCAACTTTTGAGATGTACTCACCTCCAGGTGAGATTCCGATGCGACCACTGCTGCCCGTGAATGGTGAAACGCTTGTGTCTCGTCCTCCCGAATCTAGGATCCGGCTGATCTGGTAGTCCGCATCTCCTCGCCTTCATTAGTTTCTGCGTCGCCTCATCGATCTCGCCCGTCACGGGGATACCGCCGAATTTCTGGTAACAGCATGATTTACCTAAGGTGACGCAAACTCTTTATCTGTTGTAAAGTTATGAATCAAATCTTATTACAACCCAAGACAGATATGTTATTCCCTGTAGAATTTTATATAGAAGATTATTTTCTATGGTGACGATCTTGATGAAATTCGACGACTGCAAAGTATCTCGTTGCACAAAAACGCGACGTTTGAGAGTAGCTTTTGCAGTCGTGTTCCTTTTTCCCGCTCGAGAGCGGATAAACGCTATCGAGCATTCGAACGTGTCCAGAATCTGACAAACACGTTTACCGCCTCCCGATAAAACCATCTTTTCCGAAAACAAACTGGCTGAACCCTAGATTACAAGGCGATGTGATCTGCCAGGGAAGATGCAGCGAGGAGAAAGACCACCACTCGCGCGATGAAGATTTACATGAGAATCGGGCGCGTAGGTTAGACGCGTGTCTACCGGAAAGGACGGAATCCCTCGAGACCCATTTTTTCCATTTCCGCGGAGAATCGATCAATCGTATTTTCAAGGCGACAAACACGTCCTTTCTCGCGGAAAAATTCATTCGACTCGCCGTAACGAGCAATTTACCCCGGAGCCAATTGTAGTTGCCAGATTTTCGATACTGACGCAGTACCAATAACTAATATTGGCTAACTCAATTGTTAAGAATCATTATTGAGCGTACACGAACGCGTGTATACAATGTAAATGAATCTAATGTTGAGATATTCAACACTATGTAACCTTTTTTGGGGGGAGGTCATCATCATTTAAACTTGACCGTTGTAATGTCGAATAGTGGAAATCATATATCACCGCTGAATGAGAGAATCAATCTATTTCTATTGTTATCTATCTAAATTTATCGCATTCAGACCGAATCTAATGTCTGATAATTGCCTAAATGGGTAACTTTTTCTCACAATAATCATTATTGTTGGGCCAATCGAAAAGATCAATAAGCGGATTACATCGTCACGCATAAAAATGTTGGTTTTCAAAATCATACTGCGTAATTAGAACATTAATTCGCTACTTGTGATTTAATTTAACCGAATGACAGATTCTTAACACATTAAGGGTGGGAGTCGTAGTACTACGATTTATCTCGACTGCGGCTTAAAGGCGGGAGTCGTAGTAATACGATTTAGCTCGACTGCGGCTTAAAGGCGGGAGTTGTAGTAATACGATTTAGCTCGACTGTACCTTAAAGTTTTTATGATCACACAAAATATCGCCCGCTCTAGGCGCTCTACTTTCGTCGAGATCGCCCACCGTTAATGTGTTAAGCGAAGTTTGACCATCGTTTGCTTTTTTTAAGTCTATCAATTCTATATGGGTACCTGCAGATTTTTTATGGCATCCCTGAGTTGATCCTCTGTCCGTAGATTGCCCGTCTCCACGTCGGTCTGCGGCAAGTAGCCGAACTTCATGAGATAATTTTGCTGCAACACAAAATGCAAGAAAACATAGTGAAAAGAACTAAAATTAAGTATCGTTTAAACCGAATAAGGAAGCGGCCGAAATGCGGTTCCTCAAAACACGATAAAAGAATCTCACGTAGACGCTAACGAACTGAAAGTCGTGTTTTAATCCGTATATCGCTGTGTATATCGACACAATGAGAGTTTAGCCATAGAGATATAAGAATAAAGGGAACAAGGGATATATGCTACCTGTAAGTGGAAGTGATAGAGGTCAAGAGAGAGATGGATGCCGAGTGTCCTATCTGTCTCTTTCTAGTCGAGCGCTGTGATTGGTTGTTACAATGAGCCGCCAAGACGACCACGCGACGTCAGGAGGGGAGAAAACAGACTAAAATTTCGTTTTGTAAATATGCGTGTAGAATTAAAATTCGTTAAATATTCGAACGTTAACAAAATAATAATTGGACGCGATTTGTTTAAAAATGAGGCATTGTTTGAAATGCAAGGCGGAGTCTTATCCTGGATGTAACCGCAGTTTTCACTCGTAAGAAAGTACAAATACGTAACCTCAAATAATTATATGTTATTTTTTCCTACATTTAAAAAAATATGTAAATGTGTAGGCTACCGAAGGATATAGATATAAGGCGTAAATGGTTGAATATACTTCAACTACCTTTGTATTTTGAAGTGAAAACAGCATATATATGCTGCAAATATATAAAACAGCATATATATGCTGCAAATATATGCTGTTTTCACTTCAAAATACAAAATACAAAGGTAGTTGAAGTATATTCAACCATTTACGCCTTATATCTATATCCTTCGGTAGCCTACACATTTACATATTTTTTTAAATATAGGAAAAAATAACATATAATTATTTGAGGTTACGTATTTGTACTTTCTTACGAGTGAAAACTGCGGTTACATCCAGGATAAGACTCCGCCTTGCATTTCAAACAATGCCTCGTTTTTAAACAAATCGCGTCCAATTATTATTTTGTTAACGTTCGAATATTTAACGAATTTTAATTCTACACGCATATTTACAAAACGAAATTTTAGTCTGTTTTCTCCCCTCCTGACGTCGCGTGGTCGTCTTGGCGGCTCATTGTAACAACCAATCACAGCGCTCGACTAGAAAGAGACAGATAGGACACTCGGCATCCATCTCTCTCTTGACCTCTATCACTTCCACTTACAGGTAGCATATATCCCTTGTTCCCTNTAGGACACTCGGCATCCATCTCTCTCTTGACCTCTATCACTTCCACATACAGGTAGCATATATCCCTTGTTCCCTCTATTCTTATATCTCTATGATTTTAACAATGACAGTTTCTTTGAATTGGATGGAGAAAAATGTATAGCTATATCGTCGTTGGCGCGGCAGCCAATCCCAGCGCGTGACTAGAAAGAGACAGATAGGACACTCGGCATCCATCTCTCTCTTTGCCTCTATGACTTCCACTTACAGGCTTGTTCCCTCTATTCTTATATCTCTATGAGTTTAGCGGTGGTTGAAATGGCGTGACAATTTATCGACTCGGCTTGCCGCGATTAGAATCGCGGCGAAATTCTTTCATGTTTTTCTTTCTGTTTTTCACGCTCTTAACGAGCATGAAAGATGAATCGGGACGAAAATGATTTCGAGACTGTTACCGTAACGAATATAAAGCGTGTGCACAATGTGATCCCACAGTGTACACACACAAAGATGCTTATTTGCGCACGGCTATATTGATTTATCCGCGTATCGGAATAAAAATTGCGACGGAGCTTGCGAAAAATTAAACACACTCGTGAAAAACGTAGTATTTATCGGATTCTTTTTACGAGACTACCTTCGATTATTTTGTTATTTTTCTCCGGCCGCAAAAACATAGCAACAGGCGTTGATGGGAAGTTGATAAAGCAACAAACGCGGAATCTCAACTTCTCACATCGAGCGAAAAATTCAGAACTTCTCGACTCGTTATTAACGTGTATTAATTATGGGAGGAAATTCAACGGAATAGTCTGTTGTTTTATAGGTAGGATATAATTGCGGCTTTTAGGATAGAATGCAGGGTCGGCAGGCGAGAAGTCGTAAATCGACTCTTGCGGAAAGACATAAACGTTTGTTCGCATGCCGGTTAGTTATTTCGCGTTAAACATTCTTTCTGGATCGCACGACGGCCATAAACGGCAAATTATAGGCCGTGAGAGATGGGCAGGCGCATACAGTTCACGAAGCATTTATCACGTTGCACAAAACGGGTAATATTATACATAACCGCTGCGAGGCGTTGGTGCGCGCGCGGGCGTTTAATGTGGTTGGTCGCAGAAATTAATTAGAGCAAGCTTAACCTGCCATCAAATTACACCGTCAATGTGTCTAGGATAATGCGATCGTTTAACGCACGACTTGCGCTTTCTTGAAGGTACGACGAAGTAAGACGTAATTTCGCGAGGAAACGTCTACTAAAATCGACCGCGTGTTTCGCGTCGAGATGACGAAACGCTCGCGAGACTTCAGTCGTCACGTGGGGGGTGTCGCTATCTTTAGGGATCCCTCAGGAATCGTGGGGACGAAGAGTCTCGGCGCAGGAACGAATTCCGATTCGCGACGGAGAATAAAAAAGCGCGCTCGTTCCAACATTCGATGGAAAAAGAAAGCGGTTATTCTTAGCGGACGAACGTGCAGAGAACGCGAAATAATAGTTGTTTTACGAGTTATAACATTTTGGATTTCTCCGAAATTCGTAACAAGCACAAATTCATAATGCAACTCGGAAAATTGCTGGATGTATTCACGGCCCGAGTAATCTCGCCGGTTTTCGCTGCGTATCTTGAAAAAGTATTATACCAACGATCCAAAACTCTGACACTCTCGTCAACAAAAGAGACGCCTTTGAGAACACCATCGTTATAACGATTGATGTTTGATCTTCCTATTCAATCTGCGGCTCTTTCAAACTTTTCAAATTCTATCTACCCCTCAAGGCAACGCATACATACATCTATAGGGATGAATAACGATATTTACCGTTTGGCGTAAAAAGCGATTCAAAGAAAATATGCGCCGAAAAACCTTATCATAATATTTTCCCACGAAACGATATTAAAATTTCTATAGAAGCGACGATCTGAGAGAAGTCGCGCAGCAGGGAACAAACAATGTATGAGAAAAAAGAAATAGCTTAAGTAATTAAAAAATAAATATAAACAAAATCTGTTTCTTTTGATGCGTTTGTGTTTTTACTGGAATTCAATTTAACTGCTTCAATTCTTCTAGACTAAATTTTAGCACTTTCAAGATTTCCTTTCTTCAGTTTCTCAGTACTTTTCCGAATGTCACTGATAACGGCAATTCTTATCCGTCGCTCCGGCAAGTGGTATCTTATAAAAAATCGTGCTGTTTGGCAAAAGACCTTTGTCTACGCTTATCGTAACCTCGCTTTTCCTCTATATCATCGATTCGTCAGAAAAATGATTATGGGGTAAACGAAAGGGTCACCGAAAGGGTCACCGAGGTAACATTACCGGATAGTGGTGCAATTGTCGTTACTCGGAACTCTGCGACGTCGTCGAGATCGCGCGTACACGGGTGAAGCGATGCTCCGGTGGATGTTCAGGGCGTGTTTTACCTCGTCGATCGGTCAATTAGAAACTAACTTACGTCTACTCCGCGATATATGTACACCGGGAAAGTTACGCAAGCGATGAAAAACCTCCGGGCGTAGAGGAGCAGAGTTCTTAGTGACCACCGACAGGCTCTTTCAGGCACACGGGGAAGTCGCTCCCTCCTGGACTTCGAAGATATGCGAAACGCACAGACAACGAAGTCATCTGGGATCCCCGCGGACTCCGTACAGAGCGCCGTTGGGACGACGATGTCACTTCAGTGTCCAAGTCTTCCCGCGAACTTACAACTGAAAGCCCGATACTCCTTGAGAGACGTACTCGGCGTTCCCGTAACCAAGTCCAACCGTGAAGCTTAGTTTTGCGCGCGAGACGCGGTGGAGACGGTCTCAAATGATATGTCCGTCGTGGATTCGAGCGGAAGCTAACGAAATATCGTCGGCGATATTATCGTAATAAATGCCGGAGCGATCTACGGAATTGGTCCAGAAATTATATTTTTGGAGAAATTTCAATTAAATTCTGTAGGTATTTTCAGAAATATAATGTCGTTTTTTAGCCTCCCTGGATTTGGAAAAAATGCTATTTCATATGTTTTCCATGAAATTACTGTGATTTTTAGATCTCGTTCGTTTTCCATTGATTTTTTTTCGCTTCAATAGAAGTTATCTAGAAATTTGGATAATAATCTCCCAATGTGAAAAAAATGCTGTTTTTTTAGTGTTGTGTAATTATTCTGAGCTCGTTTTAAATGCTTTTTTTTTTATTAACTTTTAATCTTCCAATCGATGTAGTTTTATACTATACTATTATACTTGGAGGAAGTTACACGGCAAAATGAGATAAAACTTTTCGTGACAAATTTTAACGCGGCAATGAAATTTTTTCAACTCTTCACTTTTAGACTTTTTATCTTTACGCGTCTCTCTTTCTCCCTCTCTTTCATGTTCTTCGTCAACTACGTGTCGGCGTATACAGAACGGCTCTTACAAACGCGTCCACGCACGTGCGTCGTCCGCAAGTGGAAAAAGGAGGGTGGGTGATGGTCGTCGGACTTAGGCCGCGTTTGGTCATCGCGCACGACATTTCTCTCGCATTGTTCGCGGATCGCCCTTTCGCGCGGGAACCGGTTGCGCCGCCGTTTAAGGCGGTAATATATATCAAGGAATGTCTCGAACAAAGAGATATTTTCGGAGACCTCCCTTCTGACCGTTCGGCTTTAAACGCGCCTCTCCCAGCAGAGTTTGTCTGCCGCTCGTGTTTCTTATGATCCCGGAATTAAATTTCGCATTGTCCTTCCTCGCGACCGCAAAATGTCAAGAGACAAAAGTCGATTGAGGTAAAAGCACCGATGCCTGGACACGTTCTTGTTCTTTACATACG